CAAGCAAAGTCAATGGGGAAATCAGATTCACTTAACAACTGTGTTCCTAATTTAACAGCTGAAGCGATTCAGTTAACAAATGTGCCAAGAAAACTCATAAAATGTGGCAAAACTCTCTTAACAAATTTCTCACTTAGCAACATACATTTAGGGCTCAATTGTTGAGGACTACCTTATAAATTATTGCAAGAATGGTGAAAAGAAGCTGAGCCTTTTTTCCCCTCCTCACAGGCCAGGCATACCTTACACAGCGTTGAAATCTTTTCCCTGCGCTCTGAACACAAAGGCGAGTCAAGGGACATCCCCCACACGAACCACCCAAACCCAATACCATTCGCTGCCGAGTTCCTCCAAGGCACCTCCACCCACCCCACTTCTCCGCCTCACAGAAGCCGCTCAGCAGGAAGACGAACGAAAGGTCTCTTATCAGGAAGCACCTATGGCGAGCACCAGGGGGTGTCAGGTACTGCGCGCGCCCTCCTCCCGGAGTAGGGAAGGGCAGCCGCTGAGGGAAGGGCCCCGAGCGACAGGGCGAGGCTCGTACAAACTAGTTCCCTTTTGGGCGTTCTCGCTTGGGAGAAAGTCCCAAGCGGAGAAGTAACAGGGCCCGGGAAGGAGGAGGAGGAGGGGGAAGAAGAAGAAAAAGGAAAGAAAGCGAAAGACCGCGTGGATGACTCTGCTTTTCCAGGCGCTCTTTGCGGGGGGTGGAGCGGGAGGGGGGAAATCCCCGCGCGCCCCAGTCCCAGCAGCAGGTGAGCGCGTCCGGCCCGAGCCGAGGCGGAGCGCGCGGGGGAGGGGGAGGAGGAGAAGGAGGAAACATGGGAGGTGCGAGAGTGCCATGGGAGGGCGGTCCGACGCGGAGGCAGCCCCACTCGACGGGGCTCTCGCTTTTCAGAGCATTGCTTTCGGCCTCGGAGCGCCCTCCGAGCAGTCCTGCGCCTTTCCAAATCAGCCTGGACCTTCCGACGGAGACGGGTAATCGATCCGCGGGCGCCAAGGGGGATTCCGCCGCTCGGAGAAACTTCTTCCCGCGTGGACTGAAGGAGCGGGTTCCCTTTTCGGCTGGAACCACTTCGGCTGCCTCCTTCGCGAAGGAGGAAGCGGGCTCAGGCATTTCTCTTTTGGACACGGGCTCTTCCCGCCAGCCCCCTGCTTCCGGTCCTGAGGGGAGTCGTGTGGACGGTTTGAGCATCTTTCTCCTCTCCGACTTCCTTCGAAGGTGCGGTAGTCTCACCCCTCGCTCCCCCCCCCCCTACCCCTCGCCGTCAGCCTGCGGTCCATCCCCTGAGAAACTCGAGTTCCTCCTTCGGAAGAGCGACTTTGACACCCGCCTCTCGCTTTGGGTTGGGTGGCAGATTTTATATGAAAGAAGCTCCGAGGAGCTGCCCTTTTCCTCCTTCCTGCTTCCCTCTGCGCTCGCAGCGCTCGCAGGGAATCCGGAATGGGGCAAAGCGCTGCTGAGTTTAAGCAGGACCGGCTGGCGAGGTTTTCATAACTCCTGGTCAGAGCAGAGCTGCTGTGTGCAACATCTGTTGGAGGACTAGCTCCGCCGGGACTTCCTTGTTTTAAGGGACTCCATGTTTTTCTTGAAGTACTTTTACTACATTTCTGAACATTGAGCTGCTGTCTTAATCAGAAATAGGAGGTTGATGGGTTGGTACTAAGGCATCACCTTTAGCCTGGTTGATCTATGTAGCACAACTATTGTTGCAGTTTATCCATCCTTTCACATTTTTCCCTACATTGTCAAAGAGTCTTTGGGAAGAAAAAACAAAAGCCAAGAACCCATGGACAAACGGAGCCTTGGAATGAGACACCTGAGGCTGCTCTATTCGGGAAAACATTTGCAAAAGCTGTTGTCCTGCAAAATCAGAAATGTGATGTTAGCAAGAGGTCTGCTCACCTGAAAGGATAAGTGTGAAAATATTATGGCAACATTTTAACAAGTGATCAAGTGTAATACTGCTAGCTAATAGAAACATTCAGCATGGTATGTTTGCCTAACTCTTTTAACAATGTTGCTCTGGACGAAAAGTTGACAGTGGTTGACAGATTATGTTGACAGGTGGTTGACGGGTTTTATGAAATATGTCTTGCAATCTTCATTTACTTTGTGCAGTGATCAGTTGGCTCACAACTGCTCACACCCTGATTTCTGCATCTACAAGGATCAAGTTGATTGGTTTAGTGTTTAGGAAGTTGGGGATTTTCCACTGTAGGCTGACTGGAGTGGGGGTTCAGAAGTGGTCAGTAATTGTTTAGCTTGAGGCAGAGGGATATTTGCTTTCCTGTTCAGTGAATGGATAAGTTTGATTGCATTAGTCATCTCAAAGTATTTGCCGTGCAAGAATGTTTCTGGTGTATATCTGTTATCTGCTTGGGAACCTTAATCTTTAATAGTGGGTGGACAGAGAATGAATTGGAACTTTTTCAGTGTTTCATGTGATAAAAAGATAGGCAGCTGCCTTATGCTGAAGCAAAACTTTTTTTTTTTAATGCTGGCAATAACACTTGAGAGCACTAGATTTCTTAATTTTCTTTGTTTAGAAAAAATGCCTAAAATGTGCCTAAAATGTAACGTCCTAGAGTCTACTACCTAGGTACTAGCAAATTGTTAAATAAATAAATAAAGTGTAGGAACTTTCCTAGAAATTAAAATGTTGAGTCAGATGACTACAGAGCATGACTAATTTGGCACGCTAGTAAGTACATAGTAAATACCAGTGGTGTCAGAAAATTTAAAATTCTTAACTATATTTCTGAAATTTCAAACATTCCACTAGCCTAAGAAGGTTGCAAAGCTCCAATCTACATAAATATCTACTCTGATTGGACGTATCTTGTTACTTAAATTACCAGGGACTGAATTTTTTCTACATGGTTGCATTACTGGTATTAGTGGGAAATTTCTTTGGCATTGCAAATTTGTATATTTGGGGGAGGAATGTTTATATCCAGGAGATTTCAAAGTGTGCAATATTGAACATACTCTACTAGTATATCATATAGGTAGCAAACTATAATTATTCAAGTTTTCCAGAGATGGACTTTTTTTTACATTGATTGGTTATATGTCCTTAAATTGTTTGAAGTTTTTTTTAATGCACAGAACAATTTCTTTTTGCTCCTAGTCACAATACAACCATTTTGGAACAAAAAGTTTAAATTTTATATAGGTGACTATTAGTTTTGATCTAGTCTTGAGATATAAAATATTTAGTTCCTATAAGTATAACAAGCTATTTGTAAAGAATATAGAAGGGGACACTAATAATTTAATTCATCAGGATATGAGAATATTGTAAATTGGTACAATTTGTTTATTCTCAAATTAAATGTAATTGTAGATCTTCAGAATGCTAGAGCATCTTCATTTCATTTCATTTCATTTTAATTTATTTGTATGCTGCCCTTTTCCCTGAAAGGGACTCATTAGTCATCTCACCTGACTAGGGTTAGAGTAAAACATTTTGTTAAACAGGAGGATTATTTATCCTTTGGCTTCAGTCCCATGTACACTTTCCTAAGAGTAATCTCTATTGCATCTGGCAGATCTTACTTCTAAGTAAACATAAAAGTACTTCATTATTCATGTATTCATTGTACAGCATAGTATATGATTAGTGGGTTTTCAGTGCTCCTTAAAATGATAAAAACATACTGGATCCTTGGACCACTCATTAGCATTTAGTCAAATCTACTTGTTTTATAGAGTGTTATAGAGATAAAATGGTGGGGTATATGTGTGCATGGAAAAAGTATAGATGACTGGATTTGGAGATATAAGTATTTATTTGTCTTTATTTGAATTCTAAAGTCATATTTAACTCAGATGTTCATATAATATTTCATCAACTTTACAAGTTTAAGAATGCTGAATAGCGGTGTACTATTTAATGAATAGGTTTTTTTTTTAATTGTAGCACAAATTGCTCTCAATGATACTAATGTGAAATTATGAGATTTTTATCTATTAAACATTTAATTTTGATACCTACTATTGTATTAGTATGTTTTAACACAGTAACTGTGCCCTTAGTTATTTATTGTGGTAAACACACATAACACACTTTCGGTAGAATGGGCACTCCACCGTGAATTGTGAGCACATATATAAATGTTATCCATTGATTTGGATGAATTCCTGTTGCTGAGGATGTAGATGAGATTCACTTGTTTCTTCATCCTGGCTTATCTTGGTTTGTTATAGCTAATAAGGAAGGGATAGCCAATTAGATCCAAGGAGACTATGAAATCCTGTAAGAGTTGTCTTCTTTAAACAAGACGTTAATTGAGGCATTCATGCACACACTAAGTTTAGCTTTATGTCTGGATTTGGTAACCTTGAGGGATGATATTCATCAAGAGAGGGGGAGAGAGGGAGGGAGGGAGGGAGAGAGAGAGAGAGATTGTATGTACTTGAGTTGTATGGCTTGATTCCATCAATCATGGAATCATTCTGAATTAATTGTATGTTTTAGGATGCAAACCAAGGAAACACTCAATTGTGGCAGTTTTGTTTTAAAATCTTACATCTCTCTTTTACCCCCCCATACCATCTTTCTGAAATTTTAGGAGGTGTCCATCTAACTTGTCTGAGTAAGGAGTGTTTTGAATAGAACCTGTACTGGACAATTAACTGAATCATACTATGGTGAGATAAATGAAATCATAGCAAAATTAGAATCTTGTTTTGAGATTTTGCTCATAAGAATAAGTACATATGTAGAATAAGATCCTGAAGGACCAGATCTATAATTTGTGGTTATTTCTAGATCCATATTGGGACACAGTCTTGATGATCATTATCAATTTAAACAGATTTACTTGTGACCAGTTGTAGATAGAAATGGCCTGATGTTAATTAAACATGATCTAGTATTACTGTACATAAATTGTCCTTAGTTAATTTAGTTAATTTAACAAAATTTAGTGAAGAGCAATTGTGGCGCTGTGGTTAGAATGCACTACTGCAGGATAATTCTGCTGACTGCCAATTACCAGCAGTTTGGCTGTTCGAATCCCACCAAGCTCAAGGTTGACTCAGCCTTCCATCCTTCCGAGGTGGGTAAAATGAGGACCCAGATTGTTGGGGGCAATAGGCTGACTCTGTAAACCACTTAGAGAGGGCTGCAAAGCAATGTGAAGCAGTATATAAGTCTAAGTGCTATTGCTATTGGAAGACTGCTAGTTTATTCACTGAGGACAAATAACAGTGTGTTGTCTTATGTTCTCATTGCCAGGTGACTTGTAGACATATTTCCCCACGGTGATTCTGATCCCTTAATGCCATGAGGCAAATGTATCTATATATGGATCTTTAACACAGTACCTGAGAATACTAATACCCGTGCAAACATCTTTGATATCCAGATCCATCCTGCAGTTGATTTTATTATTAAGTTCTTTTAATAAAAAAAGCATGTCCTCAAGCATCACATTTTTTTTCAAAAAAAAATGCTTCTGAGCTCACATAACATCTGAAGGTATTCTTAGTGTTCATTTTGTAAATGTGTTTATCTATCCTGAAAAAAATGGGGAAATTAGAAGAGATGATAGAAAGCAAATTCACAAAGCGCTTTTTGATAACATAGGTAAATGTGATGATCAGTTTGGGGCTACAATGCATTCAGAATTCCAAATCTGTATCAATATAGTACAAAGATGCTGGAAAAATTGCTAAGTAGATACTGTATGTCTTGAAAAAGCTTATGTTTTAGTTGCGAGAAAGCTAAGGAAAACTCATGGAAAGGTCCTAAAATATAAGTATATATTGATATGGAAAAATAACTATATCTAAGGAGGCTTGATGTTTTAAGAAATAAGTCAAGGATGTATAATGCCCCATTAATTGTTCAGGGTATTTATCAATATGTGTATATTGAATCCTTAAGAGGTTGGAGGTAATATTTATCAAAAATATGGATGTGTATGTTATTTTGATTGCAGACAATGCCATATTGTTGACTGAGAACTGAATTGATTTGCAGTGAATGTTAGATGTGTGACACAGCAAGAAATATGGATCTGAAAAAATTAATTATCAAAAATAAAGATAGATGTGTTTCACAGGAAATAGAATGAATAATTTATGCTGGTAGATGTCACTTAATATATGGTCTTTTGCAAATATTAATTTTCATTTTTTATTTTATTAATTATACAAGCACAAAAATAACACAAACATAATATAAGAAAAAGGATATATGTGATAACTAG